CAGACATGAGTTATGCAAACTTTCCTGGGTACCAAAAAAGATGAGTTTGTGTTAAAGCCTGTGTTCCCGTGGGGAATGGCTCCATGACAAACACATCTCAAGGAACCAGCAATGGGTGCAGCAGTTATTGCTCCTCACACGTAGCCCAGGTTTCAGCAAGGTGAGAGCTGCAGTGCTTCTGTGAAGGGAGTTTTGTGTGGCCCAGAGCTCCCAGAGCCAGGGCAGAGGAGCTGTTTGGGCATGGAGCTGAGCCACCCCGTTAGGGTGACATGGTGGGTGCCAAGGAAGAGGCTTCTGCTGTCACTCCTGGAGTTCAGCTGCTCCGTGAGGAAACAACCTCCCTGCTCTGCCGGGCTATCAATCCCACACCCCCAGGATGCGATTCGCACTCACTCACATCCAAAAGGCTGCACATCACACCAGCCAAATGGAAAAACACCTCATCAGAGGATCACTGGAGAGGATCTTGTGGAGAGGAGAATTAATGCTGCTGCCTTGTGTCAACCAAGGTGTTGGAAAATATACCAAGTTTAATTTTTTTTTTTTTTTTTATGACTTTAGCCAGTTTTCACAGAATCACAGAATGAACTAGGTTGGAAAAGACTTTTGATATCATCAAATCCAAACTCTGTTCTCTTTTGCCCCGGGGGAAGGAAATTAGAGTTTCTTTCCATGGGTATTGTCTCAACAGACTGAGAGTAGCACAGAAGATACTCAAAGGATAACATCCATCAATGGCTATTAATGAACCATCAACTCCAAACAACAGCCCTGGGGTGCTCTGAGACACCTGGTCTGGGGAAAAAGAAATAAGAATGAGGACCAAATTAGCATCAGAAGCGATCTGTAACCAATAGGAAACCAAATACTAAGAACTACATGACTTGCAACCAATGAACATTGAACCAGTGAATCTCTGTGGGTTTTGACTGCACAAAATTAGTGGAAAATCCAGTAAAATTCGTGTGTCATGGAATGATTTTCTCTGCATACCCGGGCTGTGTGTGGATGAAATTATTTCTGCAATACATCCTGGCCAGAAATAAAGTAATGCCTTGATTCTTTAACACTAAAAATATCATTGGAGGGTTTTTATATTTCCCGCAGGTGACAAAGGGACAAAGATGCTGAAAGAATTCTTCCTCCCCAGAAAAGGAGCGAGCCTCATTGCTCAGCAGCACCAGTCTGCTCACCCCCACACGAATCAGCAGCAAAACCCACTGACATGAGCAATGTGGATATTCTCACTTCTGTTTTCCTCTGATTTGACTTTACACCTCTTTTTGCCCAGCCAGACTAAGGGGTTAAAGAGCAAGACCTGCTGGGTAGGGGAAATTCCCCCTTGTGCAGAGGATCCACATAAATTGCCCGATTAAGGAGGATTTGAGTTGAGCCCACAGTTCCCCTTGCTTGGACAATCACAGATTCCCACACATCTCCAGGACAGGTCCACACAGCCCCATTCTTCAAGGATTTCTGGGTAAAATAAACAAGTAATTCCTTCTTTGCTGTCCTGTTGAAAAATTTTTCTTACCTTGAAGTCCTCTCAAAGATGAAAATGCCTGGGCTGGATTTCACTGGATTTAGAAATCCTAGTACTGCAGTCTTCTCCCATTTGAATAGATTTAATGACTTTCTACTGGTTTTGCTTGAGCAGAAAGATGTCCCTGAAAGCTGATTGTATTTACTTGAGGATCCGTGACCCAGAACTTCACTAATAAATATGTTTATCAACTGCATATGGATATTCCTTTCCTGGTATCATTTTTATTCTTATTTAACTTATCAACTAGCCCCATTATCTCACCTTCATGATTCAAACACTCTCGGAACATGATGTGAAAAAGCCAATGTACTAAAGAACAGGGCTACTTAAAACTAGTTCACATGCCATGCCCTTAATTTACTATAATATGAAAAAATTTACCTTAGCTTCTGTTTTAAATGAGGTTCATGATCAGTTCACAGCTCATCTCATTACATTTATATGCATGGCATTACTACATCTGTAATAATGCTAAATGACACAGCTTCCAGCACGAAGAAGAAATTGCCTCCCACTCTCACACAGGAACCACTTCCTACGTGTCCATTAGAAGGCATTAAATTCTGGTGCCAGCTCATTCACAATCCCTGAATTATTTGTAGATTAAATAATTCTAAAAACATATAATGAATCTGCTCTCATGCAATTTAGAAAACTTAGCAGACTTCTAAGATTTCTTCACCATCAAAACATCCTTGTAGTCTGGCTAAGGCACTCTCTCAAGCTGTTACTGAATTCCTGATCACATTTATCCCTGCAAATGGATTTCACTCCTAAAGCAGCTCACTGCAGAGTCCCACAGGCAGCAGTGTTTGTATTTAGCTTGGACTCTCAGCAAAGCACAGACTGAACAACTCTGCATCCTGGATTTCTGGTTACAGAAACTGCACATTAGAGCACACTTCAGTTCTGTCACTGTTCCTACAGCACTGTCAAACCAAGAGAGATTTTGACTTCAGAAAGTCAAATTATGGAAGGGAAATTGTTATCTAAGAGGTTTATAATAGATACCTTGATAAAGAGTACCCCCAATGTTACTACATTATACACATTCTGATAAAAGCATGACAAACCTTTCTGACAAATTATAGAGAATGGTCATTATGGAAAAGTCCTTGCCTCACAGGAATTCAAATGCATCTCCTGGTGACATTATACCTACTGCCTCTTCAATAGCTCTCAGCTCAACTCCCAGCTTTCCTTTTACTGATGATAAACAGTGACTGCAATAACACAAATAACACAAAACCAGAGCAGCACTCTCTGGCTGTAGGAAAATTGCAAATGGAAAATAAGAGTTTATCTACATAGAGACAGCTGAGAGATGGAACAGGGGTTCAGACAGAACATGAATATGGTAGAGAAAGTGTGTCAGTAATTTAGGTTTGGTTTTAAATAACACATCCCTGAGCCAGCTGGAATTGGGGCTCACATCTGCACACCCCACACTCGTGTTTCAGGACTGCAGAACACACTGTTGAGATCTGTGCATTTTTTAGTATTTTGCAGCATGCCTCTTTTCAGTTTATCTTATATTTAGTGTAGACACCAAAACATTTTGAGATGTGTTTTTGTAAATATGTGTGTCTGTGCAGAAGCCTTTCCTTGAGCTGTTTCTGAAAGCTGTACCTTCTCCCCTTTGTTTTAGTTACAATGAGCAGGACAGAGCTAATGTCTTTTTCTTATAAACCATCTTCACATTAAGGTGTCTCCAGCCTGGCTGCTGGCTCCTTTTTCACTGAGCATATATCACTGGGTGTTTATCATATTGCTCCTTCCTGCTTCCCAACAAAACCTCCCACTGAGCTTTGGAGGCAGCAGACAGCCAGGCTGTGCATATACAACTGCCAGCCCTAATGCTTTCATGCCTCATTAAGTGACCTCCTGCTCTTTTCTGCACTTGCCCAGGATTTTTGGATGTCCAGCAGCAGCCACACATCTGTCACAGGAGAGCAGCTCCGTGGTCTCTGTCCCACAGCGGCTCTGATGGATCTCCCAGACAGACACAGTGTCCCTGTGCAGAGCCCAGAGCTGCCACTGACATCTCCTGTGCTGAAACCAGAATTAACTCCTGGGATTTTTTTATTATTCAGAAAGAAAATGGACAAAGTTGTAGTCAGAGCACTGCCATGCCAATATCACCTGTCTGCTCCAGTGGTGTTGGTGTGTAAAAGTCACAGAAAACACAGAGCAAACTGCTTTGGAGCAGTAATAGACATTGAAATTGTGTTCTGAGAAACTATTCTTCTCCAAAGCATTCAGAGAGGGGCTGGATTTATGAAGCAAGAGTTACAGGCAGTGTAAAGCCCTGGAACTGGCAGTGCTGTTGAGACAGAACAGATCGTTTCAATACAAGCAAAGCTCTCAGCCTCTCTTCTCCTGAGATCCTCCCTGGAACCCATCTGTTCTGTGGAGCCCTGCACTCGGCAGCACTGCACCACGCCGTGCTGTCCTGTGCAGCTCCACTCCAGGCTCCTGAAAGGAAAATTCTTCTTATTTATCGACACAGCTCTCCCATTGTCCTCAGGCCTGTGTGCTCACATGGAAACACGGCGTGCCTGAAGAGGAAAGGCTTTGCAGCCGGGAGAGAGCAGGATTTTATTGCTGGGGCTTGACCTGGAGCTGCAGTTTCAGGGATATTCACCCTTCACCCTGCCATGAGCAGCTTGGTGGCACAGAAAAATGCTTTTTTTTTTCTGCATTTCAGAAAAATGCAGGGATGAAACCCTTGTGGCCACAGTTATGAGGGCACCCTCTGCAAGGTGCTGGCAGCTCCCAGCTGTGTCGGTGGTCATGCACTGGAGGAACGGGATGGCATCCAGAGGGACCTGGACAAGCTTCAGAGGTGGGACTGCACAAACCTGGTGAAGTTCATTCAGCAGGGCCATGTGCAAGGCGCTGCTCTTGTGGCAGGAGCCAGGGAACAGCTGGAGCTGTGCCACGAAGGGTTAGGTTGGATATTGGGAAAGGTTCTTCCCCCAGAGGTGCTGGGCACTGCCCAGGCTCCCCACGGAATGGGCACGGCCCCGAGGCTGCGCATTCGGACACCGGGATGCCAGGGTGGGATCGTTGGGGTGCGAATTTCCCCCCTCTACATTTGAAGCCATTCCCCCGTGCCCTGTCACTCCAGTTCCTGAGGGAGAATCCCTCTCATTTGTTGGGATTGTTGGGATGTCCTGTGCAGAGCTCAGAGCTGGACTGGATCATCCGTGTGGGTCCAGCCCAACTCGGGATATTCTCTAGCTCGGTGACCACTTATAAACACCTGGAGCGACATGAAAAGGGAAAATAACTTCAAAATGAAAGAGGGAAGGATTAGACTGACTATTAGGGTGAAATTCTTGTGAGGATGTGAGGAGCCCTGGCACAGCTCTGCCGAGAGGAGCCGTGGCTGCCACACCCCTGAGGCGTCCAAGGCCAGGCTGGACACGGCTGGGACGAACCCGCTGCGCCACAAGATATCCGCGCCTCACGAACGCGAACGCTGCGGCTTTAAGGAGGCGGTCGGGGCGTGTGCCCGGCCCGTCATGCCGCTCGGGGGGCCGGGCCGCTGCCGTGTGCCGGCGGTGCCGCCATGTACCGCCTGTGCCGGCTGTCCCCGCGGCTGTCGCCGCTCCGCCTGCCCCGCTGCCCCTGCCCCGCCTGGGCCGCGCTCCCGCCGGGGCCGGGCCCGCGCCGCGCCAGCGCCAAGGTACGTGAGGGCTGAGGGGCCCAGCTGCACTAATGCCCCGATCTCACAGCGCTCCTCAGCTTTTTGGGGGTGTCTTTCAGGTTTTTTTTCACCTCCGTCCCTTCTCTCAGCCCCCATGGGGTCAATAAATCGTGTTTGTCGCGGGTTTCTGGGGGAGCTGGTTCGCACCTGCCGGTGGGCACGTTGGCAGTGTGAGCTTTCTGCGGTTTAATGTCTACGGCGTAATTTGCACTGTGGTTTCTGCTGCCTCGTTGCGAAGCATCACGGGGTGTTTTAGATGTGTTTTCATGCTTTAAATCGCCTGAATGATGCGAATGAAATCGGCTTTTTAGCTGAAATATTGTCGCAGAGTGACATGGAAATAGGCAGCAGCTTTACTTGCTAAGCTGGATATTATTCCCCATGTGACTGCCTTGGGTACTCCAAATAATATCAGTTGAAATATATTGTTTTGTTTCAATACCATTCCTGGTGTGTGAGCTTGTGAATACAGGGGAATTGGAATGGACTTGAAAGATCAGAACAAGCAATTTTTCAGTCCTTATAATCCATCCTTAAGACCCAGAGCTCATAAGCCACAAAAGAAAAATCTAAAGTTTTAAAACTACAAGGATCAGGATAAGCTGAGCCACACAATTTCCTGTTTCTATATTTGTATGACTTCCTGTAACAGCAACGTAACAGAAATAATTACAAAAGAGAAAAACAAACAAATGTGGGGTTAGGGTTTGGGCGGGTGGTGTGCTTACCTTGGTGGTTGTAAGACTGTCTTGTCTGCTAATTTACAATCTTAGCAAGTCCAATAATTAATCAAGAATATTTTTCTTCGAATTTGTATGCCTTGAAACCACAGTGAGACAGTGGTGGCAGGCACTTGGTGGCTCTACCTGTCCTGTGGTGGCTGTCACATTGTCACAACTGCTGCTGAGCTCAGCTGGAAGGAGAGGACTCCTCTAATGTTTCCTGACAATTGCTGACTAATTAGAGACAAATCCTGAGGCTTTTGTGGAAATGTTTTCTTCCTGTCAGTATTTCTTCTCTGGCGAGCATGGGGAGTTTCCAAGAGCTGCCAGCACAGCTGCTCTCCTTCGATTTTTTTTCAGATTGCTTTGGGGTATGGTTTAGTATGAACTTATGCACTTGAAATGTACCCAAATAAAAATCTATCAATGACTTCTGCTGTGACAAAGATTTTCAGTGCAGTTGGGCTTTTGACACCAGCCCTGGCGTGTCCCTGCAGTTGTTGTCTGCACTGTAGCAACAGACTTGCTTGTTGCTGTCAACACTTGCAATTCTTGCTTTGATCAGCTCAGCATAAAGGGTGATTTATAGGAACTTAAACTTTGGTTCTCTTTCCATCAGGGAGCTGTTCTTAAATGGTACCAGGTGGGCTTCCAGTGCTTCTGGCTGCTTAGCCCTGGAGCAAAAAGCTGTGTTCCAGCAGTCACTGGGTAAAGATGAGCAGTGGCTGGAAGCAAATAGCTCTCACACCTCAGCCTCACGGCTCCAGCAGCTGTGTGGGTGTGCCTTGGCACACACTGCCATCAAATAATCTGGTTTTAATTATGAAACCTGAATTGTGTAAGAATTTACACCAAGATCAGTGCATTCCTTTGACAGGAATAGGTGGGAGAAGGGAGCTTGTGGGAAGAAATGCTCTGCCACAGCATCTGCTGTGCTGATGTGGAAGAGCAGAAGTGAGTTTCTGTCTTCCCAAATCACTCTGTGTGCAAGACACTTCTGTCATCATTTCAGCTAACTGTAATATGATCTTGTGCTTAATGCTAACAAATACTTCTAATTGTTTCCTTTTCAGGATGCAGCTGAACCCCTCAAAAACACAGCCACTGGTCCCAGTGCTGAAAACAAGAAACTCAACAAATCCCAGCAGCTGAAACAAGTTTTTAAAGAATATGGTGCTGTAGGGGTTTCCTTCCATGTTGGAATTTCCTTAGTATCTCTGGGAATCTTCTACCTGGCTGTGTCAAGGTGAGGTTTGTACAGCTGTCTGTCACCTCCAGGTAGTGGTAAAAGTAAAATACATTTACCATTGTGCTTATCTCTGACAGGAGACAGGCACTTTGTGCCTATTGAACCTATAGTTACCTCATGAGTTTTGAGTATGGATGGGTCCATAAATGGACATTTATGGTCCATCATGGACACATGGTCATTTTGCAGGTTCATCAGCAGGGAAAACAGCAGGCACAGCACCACCATAACTGACCAGGCAGAAAATGTATTTGTTCTGCAGATATCTTTTGTTCTTGCTTGGTCTGGAGAGATAGAGCCATGCAAAAGTGCTCTGGGGCTTAGAGATAAAGGTATTTTTCTGGGTGTTGAACACAGTTTGTGCAGTTGAACTGCAGAAAATAACAGCCACTAGAAGAGGATTAGAGTGAAAATACAGGAGTCAGGTGGGGAGTTATGTGTGTGGCTTTGTTGGAACACGTTACACAAGGTATTCCAGCTGAGGAGACAAGGGAACGTGTTATTACCCCAAACATTCCCTGCTGCTTATTCCTGACTCCAGTGGGAATATGTGAATGCCTGATTTCTCCTGGTTACTACATTGTGGCACAGGGTGACAACATTTTTTTCCTGATGAAATCTGCTATGTCTATATTAATGAATTTGGTGGATAATGCCCATTTAAGCTCCTCAACACTTCCTTCACTTGCTAGCTTTTAGATAATTTGCCATTTTGTAACACCAAACCTAACAGCAGGTACCTCATTTGGTTTGTGCTTAGGTGATAAATTTCCCCAAGACACAGAATAAAGCTTAATATAAATTTGGGAAGCCGAAACTCCGACACAAATTCACGGTAACTTTAAGAATCCCTTTGCAGACAAACTTCATCTCTAAAGGCTGAGTAGAACCGTGACACGTGAAACTTTGCGAACAGAACCGCAGCAGTCGGTATTTCTAACCCTAACCTAAAGCGGCGTCTCCTCTCTGCGCAGCGGCGTGGACATGAGCGCGGTGCTGCTCAAGCTGGGTTTCAGCGAGGCCTCTCTGCAGTCCCGGATGGCAGCAGGCACCGGCACCTTCGTGCTGGCCTACGCCGTGCACAAGCTCTTCGCCCCCGTGCGCATCAGCATCACCGTGGTGTCCGTGCCCTTCCTGGTGCGCTACTGCCGCAAGGCCGGCTTCTTCAAACCGCCTGCCTCCAGCGCCTGAGCCTGCCTGCCTCTGCTCTCCAGTGCAGCTCTTCAGGTGAAAGGTTTCTTTCAAAGACTTGTCTGGGTTCAGGTCCATCTCATCTTGTGTTTCTTAATTGTTCTTTCAGGTGAATGTCACTGTGAAAAGTGCTGTCCTTGTCTCCTTTCACTTTTGCCGCTTATTCTTAGGACAAACCTGTTCAAATGGGATCTGGTTTGCGTTTCAATTGGGAATATAAATGCTTGACAATGACCACAGTTCTGGGTCTTTATAAGCCAGCTTTTGAGCCTTTTTTTTCTTCTTTTCAAAACAGAGTCATAGCTTTCATTTATTGCTGCATAGCTGAGAAACTGTGAGATTCTCCTTCCAGCAGAATAAACATCTCACTACATGGGTAGTTCTCTTGACAAGGGTATGTATTGGAATCTAAAGTGGCAGGTGGGTGTTTCTTTTGTTAGAAGAGGCTTTTATTATAGCCCTTCTTGCAGCACAACACAGGCATTGAACTCACTTCAGTAGGAGTACCCATATGATTAATTATTGCAGTCATAATTGGTTTAGTCACAATAGGTGAAGCACTGTTCTGAAACTATGTGTATTGCTTCCATAGTCCAAGATTGCATTGTTTGAACATGTACTGGCTAGGAGCCAGCCTTACTAAAGTCCCTTTGTTTTTAAATGTTTGTAGACTCAGAAAAAACCCTGAGCCTACTGAAATCAGTGTAACCACAATTACCTGTGTGAACATACTCCAAACAGCATCAAGGCAGAGAGGAGCTGGGGGGTTTTCAATAGTTTGAGATCTGGCTTTGTACTGGAAACACTTCTTTTAAAATCTTAAAAGTAACCCCAGCTGCTTTCTGCTCCTGTGTGTGAAACTCAAATCATCTGCACCAGAAGTGCAAACATTCCAATTCCCAGCTTCCCAGGAAGAATTCCTGTGCTTTGGGCTGAGACTGGTGAATGTAGCAATGAAGGAGCTTTGCCTTCCTTATGGGGACACTGGTGTTAGAATGCAGTTACAGGTGTGGATATCCACATTCCACTCAACCTGCAGACTGATCCTAAAATAGATAAATTACTGTCACACTGGGGTAAGCCTGGCTTTTGGGCTCAGCCTGTGCTGCTGTGAGAGCCTGAGCAAGAGCTGGGGCTGTTTGGGACCTGCTGCCCGCTCTTTTTTCTTTGTGCTTGCACTTACCCCAGGGTGGCTCTGACAGATCTGTTCAGACAGAGCTCTCATTTGAGTAAAATAGCAGGAAGATACCCTAGAATAGCTTTCTAGTTTTGCTAAAATTTAGTGAATAGAGAGGAAGAAAGGGTGGAGTTATGAGAAGAGCTGGCTGAGGGAAGAAAGGAGGAGCAAATAACTTCTTGTTATGAGCAGCCTCTTGCCTCCCCCTCAGCCAGAACATTAAATTGCACCTTAACTCCTTCCCCCCCAACAGAAAGGCCCAGGTTTCATGTGGACCAAGGATAAGACTTCAAAATAACTTTGAGGCAGCTTTGTTTACTTAAGTTAGAATAATTTCTGAGGAGGAGGTTTTGTCTTAACTGTAATAAAGAAGGAATATTCAAAATTTTTTTTCAAAATCATATGAAACCATTTAAAATCATTTAGAAGTCAGTAGGAGGCACCAGCACTAAACTAGAGTTTTCTTGCTGTAAAGAAACAGCTTCATATAAATTGTGGCCAGAATTCTAATTACTTATGTGGTTGTATAAACTACTGGCAGTTTGTTTAGATGAAGATTTTTGCAAAGTATATTTTAAATTAATTTGAGAATATATTTTGAATTCTGGAGTCCTTGCTTGTAGAAGGATCATTTTTTAAAACTGTTTGTAAAATAGCAAAAGGTCTTATTCTGAAAAGACAATAAAATTGCTTTCTCTTAGTTTGCTTTAAGTGTTTTCCTGGAAAAGAGTTGGCCTTGATTTTGGTGGCAAGGGGCCTGACCCTTGGTCCATTTTAAGGAATGTCTTATAAACATCTGGTGTTGTTACTTGCTGAACATAATCTGAAAGTACTTCTGAGAGAAAGGGCTAGAAAATGTTTGAATAAATTCATTGGAAAAAGGACAGAGCAGGCCAAGCTCTCAATAAACCCAGCAGTTTAAGTAGCAACACATTTGGTACTTACCTTGCAATCCTAAATTGGGATTGTGGGATGGTGAATGACTGGGTGGTACCAGCACTTTGAGCTTCCTTTTTGACAGAGGTGGGAATTATACTTTAGGAATTCACCTCTGAAAGCAGGAGTTCTGCTGAGCCAAGCAGCCACAAGGAACCTCACCGTGCTGGGTGCAGTATAACAAGTCTTTATTTTACAAATTGAGTGCTCACATTTAAAACTAGAGACAAAATCAATTGCCACATCATTTTTAGAACACTTGAAAAAGGCATTCACCTCGCTCAGTTTCAGGTTACACCACAGGTAAGACACCCTGAGCAGCCCAGGGAGGGAGGAGCAGGCATCTCCAGGATATTGCACTGTTCCATAAGCCAGAACAACTTCCTTGTGGTGGAACAACAAACCATTTTCAGCCCAAGAGCTTCACACTTACACCAGCAAACCTGGCCCACATGGAGCTGATTCAAGTACATTAAATATTCCACAAGCTCCAGCTAGAAGTCAAATAAATTTATGCTGCAATTCGAGTTTAAGACACCAGCCAACCCAAGGACTTGCATCCCAATTGCCACTAGATTCCAAGACCTGCTTTCCCTATTGTAAGCATTACAGTAGTCACAGTACAAGGCTCCTGCGTGCATCCCATGAGTCACCCTCCTGCAGCTATGTTTTGGATGGGGCAGCACCATCACTCTTCCTGCTGGTGGGAACCTTGGTAGAGTTTGCTGTGATCCAGGGATGGAGAAGTACATCCTTCAGGGGCAGGCGGTGGAAGGGGTTGTGCTTCAGGAGCTTGGAAATTAAATCCCTCGCACCTTCTGTTACAAATGGAGGAAACTTGAATTCCACCTAAGGGAAAAAGGACATTAAGAATCATGCAAAAGTTCTTTAGCAATAACCAAATCATTGAACCAAAGGGCTCTACTCAAGTTACCCCTTGGAAGCTGTGCTAGCCTTGCAGGCTTGTGCAACTTCTTCCTACTGAGATGAGACCAAATCACTACATTACAACCCTGAACAAGCTTCTCACTGCTCGTGAAAGTATTTGTATATTCTTGTGATTGTTTTCATTATGCTTCAAACTTGCTGAAACCTTTCTAGAACTAAAAGCATGACCCAGCTAATCCAGATAAGCACTGGCACTTACCCTGGAAATAGCTCTGTAGGTTTCTTGATAGGTTTTTGTTTCAAAAGGTGGTTTCCCTACAAGGAACTCGTAGCACAGAACTCCCAGGCTCCAAATATCCACCTTTTCATCATGTGTCCTTCCCTCAATCATTTCAGGAGGCAGGTAGTCAAGTGTCCCACAGAGAGTTGTTCTCCTGAAGAAAAGTCCAAGTTAATCAATGATTAAGATAATTAGAGGATCTATTTCAAGAGCCAGATAAGATGCTGGCAATCATCTGTACCTCAGCACCACCAGAACAGCTGGGAAAGCCAGCAGGACATTTCTACTTCTCCTGAAGGTCTCAGTCCCTCCAATGTCAGTCTTAGGAACAAACCTGTTCCTCCCTCCGCAGGTGCAATTTCCCACCCTCTCAGAAATCACCAAATTGCCAGAACGTTTGAGTCCAAGTGCAGGTTTGTCATCTCAGGGACCCTACACCAACCGTCCTTTGAGGGTCAGCGAGGTTTGAAGTAAAATCCAGGACAACAGCCCTCCTCTGTCACACCAGTGTCCTGTTAGGCCCTTGGTTACAGCAGCACTTTCCCCAGCATTTCAAGAAGCTCCCACGTACCTCCCTTCCACAACTGTGTGACAAAAACTGACACTGCAGAAGGATTTCAGTGCACAAGAGACTGAAGTCTCACCTAGAGGATGGAGCATGCACAGACCACCCAAAGTCAGCAATTTTTAACTCTCCATTTGATCCCAGCAGCAAGTTCTCTGGCTTGATGTCTCTGTGGATCACACGCTTGGAGTGACAGTACGAGAGGGCATCTGCAAGTTCTGTGATGTACTGGGTGCAGAAAGAACAACCTTTAAGCCACAATCTTTAAGATACTGTCACCTGAGTTTATCTGGCTGCAGCACAGCCTTTCTGAGCCATAATTATAATTGTAAGTTAAAGCAATTATCCCTTAACCCTTGAAGCCTGGCAATACAGGCTGTGCCTTGCAATATTAAGCAATTCTGAACGTAAATTCCTCCACAGCACTAAATCTTCCCAATGATTCCCTGCCCAGATGCCAACTAGCAGCTCAGGAATCTGTTTCCCCCAGCAGAATACAGAAGTTGATCTGAAGGGCTGGCTCTATCCTGCAGATTTCCCAGAGACAGAGGAATGGAACCACCTACAGTAGCAGTTCTTTGCTCATCAAACTTGGTGAGCCTCTGAAGCTCCCTGTAGACCTCCCCACGAGGTGCATGCTCCAGGATCAGGTAGACTCTTGTCACATCATGGAAGTAGCCATATAATCTGAGAATGTTGGGGTGCCTGCAAAGAGATTTCAATGTTCTTCTGAACCAGGTGTTTCTCCACAACCTTTGACTTCCCCATCCTGCTCCCCCCACCTTTCAAGGCAAGCACGAGAATTTCAGCTCATCCACGTTCCTTCAGCTCACAATAAAGAGATCTTATCGTAAAGAAGAAGCCTCATCATAATCCAGGTAACTTGGTTTATTTGCATGCAAACAAAGCAGAGTAAATAGTCACTAAACTTTACCTAAGATGAGATTGTATTTCCACTTCTCTTCGTAGTTGATGTTCTACACCAGCCTCCTCAAGCTGTGTTTTAAAGAGCACTTTCAGTGCAAGAATAAATTTGCTCTGTTTTTCACGTGCCAGGTACACATTCCCAAATTTTCCTTTCCCCAGAGGACGACCAATTTCAAAATCATCAAGAGACCATTGCCTTCTGCAAGAGGAAAGTTAAAAGCTGGAGGTTTGTGTTGGCTTTGACTCAAATTTACAGTTTACAGCATTACTGTTCAAGAGATGTTTAGTGCTCTAAACTAGATTTTAGTCTTTAAGAAAAGACCAAGAGAATAAAGGCATTGAGATTTTTCAAAAGGAAGTTCTGAAAGCTATTTTTTCCCCTCATTAAGCTTCTGCAGACACTACACCAACCACACTACTACAAAATGAAGACTGTTTACCAAGCTGGTCTCCTGTAGATACTCCTAACCCAGACACATCCAGGGCATGGCAAAACAACTTAAAGCTGCCATAAACAATTCCAACTTCATCCCAAACTAGACTCCAGCCTCCTGCCCAGATGAAGGAGGCTTTGTTTTCAGGAGTACATCTCGTGACTGGGGCAGCAGCTATCAGTGCTCTCCCATGGGAAGAGCTACTCTGCATTTAGCTCAATTTTCTTTAGATTACAGCAAGTCCTTGCCACTGACAATTACCAGGTCAAAGGCTGCTTTCCTGGTGTTGTGTCTGCACAGTGTGGGAGTCACCAGGCTCCACAGCCAAAGGAGCTCCAGCAGGGCTCAGATGTCTAGAATTCAGGCATAAAACTTACTTTTTAGTCTCTTCACTTTTCTTCTTGGTCTCTTCAGCTTTTTGTTTCGAGGTGCTTTCTGCTTCAGGGTTTTGTGCTGTGTACAGAGAAGGAAATCAATTTATGAACCAGACTCATGGGAACACACACACAGGAACAAATCTAACCCCTCTGCATCATCTGAAACAGCTTTTAGAATCCATTCAGTGACATTTTAAGCAACATAGCATAGCTGACTGCTGGGAAAGAAACAGCACTGGCAAAATGCAATTTTAAAAGCTTTCTGAGCATAAAAACTCATGAGTTCTTTCCCCCTCCCCAAAGAAAAGTATCCTTGTGCATGAATCTTGGAAAATGTGAGGTCTGAATGCCATTTACATTAACTCCCAGCTGGCTGCTGAGCACCTGGAAGTTTTTAACACCATACTGGCTCTAATTGGTTCATTTAGAGATAAATTCACAAGGATGGTGCAGCAACACCCGAGGTGAACCATGTGCTGCTCTTCTGGTTGGGGACACAACCAAGAACTTCCCTCCAGGACTGTCCCTGGACCAGCAGCAGCTTTGGGAGTGTCACAGCTGTGACCACACAGAAGCCATCCTCACAATTACCAGGTGCTGCAGCCTGGGGAGGCTTTTCAGTGCTCTTGCTCGCAGCCTGAGGTCTCACAGCAGCCTGCTGGGGCAGCTTGGGTCGGAGCTGCTGCGCTGTTTGGCTGTTGGGCAGTTTTTGGGTTGACAGCGCAGGTTTTTGGGGCTGCACGGGGACTCGCTGGGCGAAGTTTGCAGGACACAGAACTCGGGCTGGAGCTCCGCTGGTGAGGGAGCGGCTCTGGGCTGAGTGCTGCGACACAGGGACACGCTTGGGGGCATCCCCGATGGGATTGGTGCCCTGCAAAGAGAGAGGAGAACGCGTTAATTGTGCGACAGCACAGCAGAACCTTCACAGCCCCACTCAGGGTGGCAAAACCTCTTTAACAGAAACACTAAAAATCATGTATTTAGTTGATTAAAAGGAAATGTTGCTTGTGCTGGTCCAAAAACTTACCAGACCTATTTGGTTTTATATAAAATAGTGAGAAAGTGCCTGTATTTCTAAATGGAGAAAATACAATAAGGAGGACTTTGAGCACTGCTGCACATATGTATCAATAGTAACAATCAATTTGCACAGTGCTTACTTCTAAAAACTGTATCTAAAATCATTTGATTATACACACTTGCTTTGTCTTTAAGGGCTCTTAAATACTTTTAAAGAAGATTTCCCCACTTAATAGGATATGCTAGTATTAACGATAATTTAAAAAGTCAGCTCTGGGCTGTTTTCTCTAGGAGAAAGCTACTTAAAGATAAATTACTAGTTTGAAACCTGTAGTTAATATGCGGTGGGGAGAAAAAAAACCCAAAAGTAAAAACTGCAACTCCCTAAACCGACCAGAATTTTAATGGCAAACCCCCAAGCATCGAGACCAACGATGCAGCAGAGATAACTGCTCAGGAAGAGGAGCACAAACTGCCTATTTCACACCTTTACCTTGGCAGCGCGGCCTGGGAACACGGCGTGGTTCTCCTTCATGTTCCTGTCCATAGCGCCAGAGCGGCCCGTACGGCTCTGGCTGAGGGCGAGAGAGAGCCAGCGGGGCCCAGTGAGCGGAGCACAGGAACTCTGAGCTCCCTTATCAATTATTGCTCTCTATCGATAGCGGGCCCGTACCGATACCCCCACACGCTCCCAGGCCCGGCGCGCACCCCGAACCCGCCGCCTCAGGGCCGCCGGAGCTGTTTGAATTCAAACCGCCGCGCCTTAAATACCCCTTTAAACCCCCGCCGCCCGCCATTGGCCGCCCTCCCGCGGCCCGCGGACGCTGATTGGCTTCTTCCGCGGGCGGCCCTCCCGCCCATTGGCTGCCGGGTGCACTCCGCCGCGCCGCGAGGGGCGCACGCGCCGCGCCCGCCCCTCCGCCGGCGTTGTCGCCGCGCGGCGCGTTACGCACTTTGCGTAGCGCCGCGCCCCCCGGCGCGCGCCGCCCGCGCACTTCCCGCCGGCCGAGCCGCCGCTTCCGCTACGCAAATCGCGTAACGCGCCGCGCTCCCACCTGTGGCCGCCGCCGCCTCCGCTCCGGTCCGCGCCCGGGAGCGCCGCCAGGTCAGTCCCGCTCCCGCCAGACTCCCCCCGAGACACCCCCATCCACCCCCGGGCGAGGCCGGGGAGCGGCGCTGCTGCCACCGCGCGCGGGGCCGAGCGCGAGCGGGGCCATTGTGTGGGTGCCCCCCCGGACGGGCCGAGCAGGGCCGGAGCCTCCCGGTGCGTCCCGGCCGAGCGGCCCCGGGCAGCGCCACGTGCCGCCAGCGCTTCAGAGCGAGCGCCAAGTGCGAAGGCACCGCCCGGCCCGGCCTGAGCCACGCGCGGACCCCTCGCAGCCCCCGGCAGCGCCCAGACCCGCGCGGCTCCCGAGGAGACGCCGGGACAGCGGGAGCGCGGCCGCTCAGCGAACGCGGCCCGCGAGTAGCGCAGCGAGCGCGGCGTGAGGCGCTGCTGCCCCGCAGCCGCGGAGCCCGCGGGTCCCTGCGAGGCGCCGCGGAGCGAGGAAACTCCAGTCGGCGCTTGGGGCTTGTGAAGAACTGCGATCCAAGGCAACTTTTCACTGTCTCCGCGGTGCTGAAAACAAGAGCGAAGGAGAGCCTGGTTGTGTGTGTTGGTGTTTACAAGCGGTTCAGGATAGGTAAAAAGAAGATGTCGGGTCGCCGTGTCGCTGCAGCGTGTGACAGACGACAGCTGCCCCGGGGCATGGGGAGCATGGCAGCGCCGCTGCTCGACCCGCGCCCGCTCCGGCTGCCCTTTCTCGAGGCTGACGTGAGTAGCACTCGGGGACGGGACGGTTTGCGCTGGGGACGGGGCCGGGCCCGCCCGCAGCGCCGGGCAGCAGCGCCAGCCGCTTCATTCCCAGCCCGTTCACGTCGCCGTGTTTGGGATCCGGGGTCTGGCGGAAGCGGCGCTCCGGAGCTTTGCGGCTGCGACACAAAAGAACCCCCGGGCTCCCCCCGCGCCCGCCGGGGGCCGGGCCAGCGCCGCTCCCCCGCCCGCGATCCCGCCCCGAGCGCGGCTCTGCGGCCTCCGCCAAGGCCCCGCTGCCCCCGGAAGGGGAGCGGGGATGGACCCTCGGGATCCCCGGAAGGGGAGGAATGGGGAGAGCGACCCCCGGGATCCCTGGAAGGGAGAATGGGGAGCGGGACCCCCGGAAGGGGCGGAATGGAGAGAAGGACCCCCGGGATCCCTGGACAGGAAAATGGGGAGCGGGACCCCCGGAATGGAGAGAAGGACCCCCGGGATCCCCAGAATTGAGAGAAGGGACTCCCGGAAGGGGAGGAATGGCGAGAGGGACCCCCGGAAGGGGGAACGGGGAGAAGGACCCCGGGATCCCCGGCGTGGGGGGTGAGGGATAGGGATCGGGACCCCCAGAGCGGGGTCGGGGATCGGGACCCCCGCGATCTCCCCCCACCGTGGGGGGGGGGGGGGGGGCCCCCCCCCCCCCCCCGGGGGGGGGGGGGGGGCTCCCGCCTCCCCGCCGCGTGACGCGGGGGGCGTGGCGCCCGCGTGACGCCGCCCCGTTGTGTCGCCCCCCCCCCAAGAGCCGCCTCCCATCGATGTGCGGGCGCTCGATGCAGCAGCCTTCGCGGAGGAGCGTCCTGCGGGCCCGGCCGCCCCCGCCGCTGCCGCCGCCGCCGCTCGATGCGCTCCGCGCTCCCGCCGCCATCTTAGGGGCAGAGCGCGGGCGGCAGAAGGAAGGCTCGGTACGTACCGGCACCGCCGGGGCCGCCCGCCCGCGGGGCTCCGGCACCGCCCCGAGCGGCGCTCCGCCACAGCCGCGGCCGGCGGGAGGGCGGGGAGGGCGCGGGGCGGGCGGCGGGGCCGGCGCGGTGCTGTCCTGCGCGCCCCGTGCATCCATCCATCCATGCAGCGCAGCCCGGGCCGCCGGCAGCACCGGCGGCTCCTTTGGCACATGCCGCCGGCCCTGCTGCCGCTCGGCGCGGGCCGCCTGGGTCTGTGGGCCACATTTTCATTTACACAGAAAACAAGCGCAACAGGTTTTTCCTCTCCTTTTCCTTCCCTTTCCGCCCCCCTTTTCCTCCCTCTTGCCTCTCCCTTTTCCTCTCATTTTTCTCCTCTCTCCTCTTCTTCCTTTTTCCCCTTTCTTCCCCGTTCTCCCGTCTTCCTACCCTTTTTCCCTTCTTTTCCTGTCCTTTTCCTCCTCTTTATCCTGCCTCTTCGTCCCCCTCCTCCCTTTTCCTTCCCTTTCTCCCGTCTTTCCTTCTCTTTCTCCCACCTTTTCTTCACTCTTTCCTCTTCTTTCTCTCCCTTTTTCCTCCTCTTCCCCCCTCCCACCTTCCTCCCCCCACCTCTGCTTTCCACCAAAACCACAGCAATATTTGGTGCCTGCCCTGAGATTTGTTCCAAGGTTCTGGTGGTTTCGTGCAACTCTTGTATGTGATTTTTGTTCTTCATTCCAGGCCCCCCCAAGGCAGTCCCTGCTCACAATGTATAGGACAAAAGTCAGTTTGAAAGACCGTCAGCAACTTTACAAACTGATAATTAGCCAGCTGCTCTATGATGGATACATCAACATTGCCAATGGCTTGATAAATGAGATCAAACCACAGTCTGTCTGTGCACCCTCTGAACAACTGCTGCACCTAATTAAGTTAGGTAAGCTGGAATCCAAAGCTGACATAAAAGTCTAGTTTCTAATTCCCCAGTGAATTAAGAGGTTGGTGTCACTGCAAAGACACCTTTGATGCAAAGGTGGTGTCTGGTAATGGCACAGCACTTGTACATCTGGCTACAGCCTTGGCCTCTGTGGGGTTTGGAAGGGCATTCCTGTTTCATCACCAACAAACCAGATCCCTGAGTGTTGCCCAAATCTGTTTGAACTCCCCTAAGGACACTCAGGGTGTCTTCTCAAAACATCCCAGTGAACAGGATCACTGAGCCCCCAGATCTGAGGGAAAATCTCACCCTCACAGTTCTGCTGACTTCAGAAAGAAATCGTTCCAATCCGGTTGTTCTGACAGTGTTGGAGAGGGAGCGAGTCCTTCCATTGGCAGTCTTTGCTGGCTTGTGTAGATCAGTCCCCAGCAAACAGCTGCACCCTCTGGGCTCTCAGCAGGGCTGTCACCTGTTCTGTCCCTGTGCTTCCCTCTGGGAATGCCACAGTGTGGGGAGAACAGGGAAACCCCTGAGCTGCTGTTGGAACGAGCTGACCGAGTCCTGGAAGAGCTCTGCTCGTGGCACCATGTGGAACTCAACTGGTTCTGCTGCCTGAACTAGCTGAGTTCTGAGGGTATAAATCTGTGAAGCTTTGTGTCTGCTTGAAATGCAAATTCTGGACTTGAAATGAGCAGATGAAAGCAGCAGAAAGATCAGCACTGGGCTGAAAACTCTTGTGTCTGCCCTGCTGCCACTTGCAGTGCTGAACTCTGGTCTGTAGCTGCATCTTGGAAATAAAAGTCTGTGAAGTGGGCTTGAAGCCCAGCAAGTTTTTTCCCTTGCAGTGCAGGGATAATTTAGCTTCAGTGCCATAAAATAGGAAAAGAATCAGTAAATGCTTTGGGTTTTATACTTTAAAACTCATGTAATAGTGTTGGGGTTTGTTGCTCCTCTGTGAAAAGCTGACCAGAGGCCTGTGGATGGTCAGTGGCTGATTGTCAGTGAATTTATCAGCATTCCCAGTCCTCACTGGGGTACTCCCAGAGCATTGATCAGCATTCCCAGTCCTCACTGGGGCATTCCCAGAGCATTGATCAGCATTCCCAGTCCTCACTGGGGCATTCCCAGAGCATTGATCAGCATTCCCAGTCCTCACTGGGGTACTCCCTGAGCATTGATCAGCATTCCCAGTCCTCACTGGGGTGCTCCCAGAGCTCCTGAGGATCTGTGCCTGCTCCAGCACAGCCCAGCTCTCCCTCACTCCTCCCCAGCGCTGTGGGACCGAACCTGCCGTGCCAGCTCAGCTGTGCCCCCAGGCTGCCTTTGCCCAGCCTTCCCTGGAGCCGTGGCATGCCCTGGGGAGGGGGCTGCCAGCGCTGAGTGTCCCCCTGCGTGTCCCCAGGCATGGAGAACGACGACAGCGCCGTGCAGTACGCCATCGGCCGCTCGGACACCGTGGCGCCGGGCACCGGCATCGACCTGGAGTTCGACGCCGACGTGCAGACCATGTCCCCCGAGGCGTCCGAGTACGAGACCTGCTACGTGACATCCCACAAGGGGCCCTGCCGCGTGGCCACCTACAGCAGGGACGGGCAGCTGATAGCCACGGGCTCGGCCGACGCCTCCATCAAAATCCTGGACACCGAGAGGATGCTGGCCAAGAGTGCCATGCCCATCGAGGTGAGGGATTGGGAATTGTGTCTGTGCCATGCCCATCGAGGTAAGGGATTGGGAATTGTGTCTGTGCCATGCCCATCGAGGTGAGGGATTGGGAATTGTGTCTGTGCCATGCCCATCGAGATAAGGGATTGGGAATTGTGTCTGTGCCATGCCCATCGAGGTGAGGGATTGGGAATTGTGTCTGTGCCATCCCATCGAGGTGAGGGATTGTAATCAATTGGAGTCCTGTCCATGCCATGCCTATTGAGATAAGGGATTGTAACCACTCTGGGAATTGTGTCCATGCCATGTCCATTAAAATAATGAATTGTAATCAATTGGAATCCTGTCCATGCCACGCCCATTGGGATAATGAATTGTAATCACTTTTGGGATCCTGTCCATGCCATGCCCATTGGGATAATGGATTGTAACCCCTCTGGAGTTCTCTCCTTGTCATATCTGTACCTTGTGGCCACCTCAGTGGGTTGGACTAAATACCTGTCTCAACATAGTGCTTACCCCAGCAGCTGCTCATAAAATCCCTTTGAAGGAAGAAGAGCCAGGGCAAGGACACAGGTGTCACCCCTGGCAGCAGGGAGAGAACTGAGCCAGGAGTGGCTCCTGCTGGCTGCTGATTGTGGCTGTAATGTCTGAGCACAGTTCATGTTAAACCCACTTGTGGCCGTGCAGCCCCCATGGCCATCTCTGTTTTCACTGGGTATTTCAGAACTGTTTCACACATTGATTTGCTTTATCTTTCTCCAAGACCGTTATCAGGTGGCAATGAAAAGTGGGATTTTTTTGCCCAGAGCACCCACCACATTCTCAGCAGAGAGCTGCAGTTTCAGTGCAGCTTCTCTCGATTCTTCCCAGCAGTCAGTGTTTTGCTTTGGGCTGTTTATGAAGGTGATGTTTTCTTGCACCAGCTCTCTGCTACTGAAGTAGTTTGTCCTTGAGCCAAGTTGTTTTGACCTTCATAAAGACACAGGGATCTTACTTGTTGACCTATAAAGGGCCTTCAAATAACCAAGGGAACAGATTGTGTTCCTGGTCGTGTCAGAGAGGAGCTGCTGTTCAGCCACTCTGGCAAGCCAAAAACCTACTTTTCTTGTCAAAAACTTGCTTTATTTTCCAAGAGAGGCAACATGTTGAATGTTCTTTGTAGGTCATGATGAATGAGACAGCACAGCAGAACATGGAGAACCACCCTGTGATCCGGACTCTGTACGATCACGTGGATGAAGTGACGTGTTTGGCTTTCCACCCAACAGAACAGATCCTGGCTTCTGGCTCAAGGGACTACACACTTAAATTGTTTGATTATTCAAAACCTTCTGCCAAAAGAGCCTTCAAATACATCCAGGTGAGATACTGCTCAGAGCAGGCAAAGCTCAGATGTCTGAGTGCTGAGGTGGTGTGAGCTGGGCTGTGCCTCAGGTGATCAGAGGGTGCAGGAGCACACAGGTGCAGCATTTGCTGACCTTACAGAGATTGTGTCTTAATTCTGTGCATCATGGACACTTGTATTTAAGTCTAGAAGCTGTCAGCTTTTTATTCATTAGACCAACTCTAATCTGAATTAACTTGGAAGTCAGTTCTGTTATCTTTGAACATTTGGGAGTAGGTGGTGGTGGGCTTGAGGGATGATATCCTAAAATAAGGGGGCACTGCAGGCTGCTCTAGGACAAAAACTACAATGCAGCCAGGGGCAGCCTGTCGTTTCAGTCCCACAGGAAACATTTTCCACTTTGTGCTGATAATTCCAGTAGGTTTTTATCACTTTACCACCACCAGCACCGACCCTTCCAGTTGAGCTTTTTTCCTTCCTCACCCCGCCGTGTGTTTTTAATCCAACAGGAAGCAGAGATGTTACGCTCCATTTCTTTCCACCCTTCTGGGGATTTCATCCTGGTGGGGACCCAGCACCCAACCCTTCGTCTGTACGACATCAACACCTTCCAGTGCTTCGTGTCCTGCAACCCCCAGGACCAGCACACCGACGCCATCTGCTCCGTCAACTACAACGCCAGCGCCAACATGTACGTGACAGGCAGCAAGGATGGCTGCATCAAACTCTGGGATGGGGTCTCCAACCGCTGCATCACCACCTTCGAGAAGGCACACGATGGAGCTGAAGTCTGTTCTGCTATTTTTTCCAAAAATTCCAAGTATATTTTGTCCAGTGGGAAAGACTCTGTGGCTAAACTCTGGGAGATATCCACTGGCCGGACGCTGGTGAAATACACAGGTATGTGGCAGGTGACCTTCCAGACTCCTTCTTTTTCAGGTGCTGAGACATGGCAGGGCTGGAAATACTGTCAGAAAATAAGAATTCCTAAAGGCAGTGGAGAAACTGCTGCTTTGTTGATAAATTGCCCAAGATTTTTGAAAACATTTCCATTAGAGCAATTCCAGAAGAGAAGCTGTGGTACAGTGTGTCCATGTTAACATATTTTAGTCTGAGTAGATTTTGGAGAATTTTCTGACATCATTACTCACTCTATTGTTTTGGAGGGAAGTGATCACTGAATTGGGGAAAAGTAAGAAGAAACACTTCAGGGCAGTTGATTTAACCATTAACTCTGTGGCTCTGTAGCCATGGCAATACTCTGAAATGTACCTGCAGCTGGTTTGTTCCCTGTTTTGTGTATTTTTTCCCAAGGATGCAGTTGAGTGCAAGGTACTCATCCTTGGAGCAAGGTGACAGTGCCATGCTTGGATCTCAGCAGGATTTAGGGAATAACAAAGGCTGTGGAAGCTTTGCATGTGACAACAGCTGTGTGTGAGGCTTTGGGGTCAAGCACTGATGTGCTTAAGCAGTAGGAGCACAAAAGATGCTGGAAATGGTGTGTGGCAGCTTTTGGGGTTTGTAGGTCCCTGTTTGCAGTCCAGCTCTGCTGCTCGCGGCCAGCAGGGAGCAGCACCTTCCCGGGAAACCGTGCAGATCCCAGGGAGGATCTGTGCCCTGCCCTGCCTCTGGGAGACACGTTTTACCTGAGGGTATGGCCAAGGGAGCTCATACAGCATGAGCAAGGCCTCAAGGATCATCATATCTGTGGGTTCTTTCTCCTTGGTCACAGCTGAAAGCCTCATGCAAAAATACCAGGCAGAAATACTCTTAGGTGAAGGATTGGACATGGCATTCCTTCTGTCTCCTAAGGAATTTTAGCATACATACATGGACAGCAGGAGGAATTTCCTCGTGGAAAAGGTGGTCAGGCCTTGGCAGGGGCTGCCCAGGGAGGTGTTCAAGGAGCACCTGGACATGGCACTCAGTGCTCTGGGCTGGTGACAAGGTGGGGAGGGGGCACAGGCTGGACTCAAACCTTTCTGGTCCTGTTATCCAAGTTCAAAAGAATATTTGTTACTGCACCACCTGTTGCTTGTGGAAGTGGTTGAATGTCACTAGAGGACACGAAACAACACGATGTGGACTCTGCTGCTCTTTCCAAGGTAAAAAGGGCAGTTTATTTTCTGACTCCTACATTTATAGATTTCTAAGAGTGACAGTGGTTTGGAGGGTGACAGTGCCACCTGTCCAATGACACTGGACAATCCAAAAGTCCATCAAATTTCTCCCCCATAAAAGAATGCAAAACAGTAAGTTATTTACAGAAAGTGTGCGAGAAAGTTCGTTACAAGAATGTAAATATCAGAAGGCTTAGAAAATCTTAAAAAATCAGGGTGACAGTTGAACAGCAGAGAAAATTGATAGAAAATTATAGACAATTGATTCATTAGAGGAAATGATTCATAGGTATGAAGACTTCTAATTGTGCTGGCTGTGTTTAGGTGCTGGTTTGAGCGGGCGCCAGGTGCACAGGACTCAGGCTGTGTTCAACCACACAGAGGATTACGTGCTGCTGCCGGACGAGAGGACCATCAGCCTGTGCTGCTGGGACTCCAGGACTGCAGAGCGCAGGAACCTCCTGTCCCTGGGCCACAACAGCATCGTGCGCTGCATCGTGCACTCCCCCACCAACCCCGGCTTCATGACCTGCAGCGACGACTACAGGGCCAGGTTCTGGTACAGGAGATCCACCACAGACTGAGGAGAGCTCCCCAAGCAGGGATTTCCCAGCTCCTGCCCCCCTGGGGGATGGTGCTGCCAGCAGCCGCCTCTGGGGAAGCCGTGCTGGGCTGGTTTGGATTCTGTCAGATGTGACAGGAAAATAGCAAATATTGAGACTCTTTACCCCACGCTAATTTTTTTATTAGTGTGCGTGGTTTAATTTTTGTAAGTCATCTCTAATTGTACTGAAGGGAGAGGGTGGAGAATAAAATGATCCTGGCAGGAAGGGCTAAGCTTGTTCCCCTGCCTGTGAATCACACACGAGATAAAGGGACTGTGTCCTGCTCAGAAGGAGCCAGTTCTGCTCTGTGTTGTGCCTGTGCAATCCCACTGAACTCTGGCAGAGAGTAGATCACACAAAGAGCAGCAAAACTTGGTGTAGAAACTTTAACGAAGCCTTAAGCTGCCTTCAGCCACAATTCATTATTTGTAAAGCTCTGGTTTGTATCTTTCAGTCTGGGGTTTTGATGAATTCTTTCTGGTGTTTTTTGTTTATTGGCCAGGTAGGCCGTCAGTTCTGAGTTGTGCCACAAGAATTCAAACAGGATTTTAAATTGTTTAGATGAATTCAAGAAATGGTCTTCTAGTTCTTGTGTTAAAGTCAGACTTCATCTCATCCTCTTTTGAATTTATCTTAATAAGTGGGACCTCAAAACGTTTCCTAATAGTTTTAAGGAATATCCACATTGCAGTTAAAATGTGGCAGTTCTGCTGCAGGTGAAAATGAGAATAATTTTGCCTTAGAGACCTTTAATATCCTCTCAAAAAAAGAAACTTGTGCATCTGAATTTTGGTATGTGTACCTCAGAAATGTCACTGTTTCATTTGAGAAATCTTCATCTATGTCTTACACAGCACTTCAATTGCATTATCTTTTAATTAGTCACAAACCCGGTGCCCATCGTTGAGAAACTGTGCTTAAAATTTCTCTAAGTTGGAAAATTCACTACTTATTCTCACAGAGATCTGCCTGAGCAGAGTCTTAAACTTGTTTTTTGAGGCCTCCTCGTGCAGAGCTCTTGGGCATCACAGCTGGGAGGCTCCTTTGGTCAGAGCTCAGCACTTGCCTTTGTGAGGGTTTTTAAATGTGAGGTGGTTCTTGCTGCTGGATTAACTTCCATTACACTGAGGAATTGTCAAGGGCTGGTGAGGGTACAGGTTTTGTCTGTATTTAAATAAAGATTGCCTTTTAAAAAGCTCTTTGATACATAAAGAAGGAATTGTATTTGTTTTCTGTAACAAAGGAGAAATTGTCAGATATGGGAGGCTTGGGGCTTGGGGACTTGGGAATGATGAATTTGTTGTGTTCCACCTGAATCAGGTACAACTACAGACTCAAAATGTAGAACGTGGGATATTTTTATTTAAATAATGAAATTTCATTTTCTGTTGAAAAGCTTCTGAGGCTGAATCCTCTTTGCTGCTCCTCTGCCTCTGCGTTGGTGACCCTCAGCAGCAGTGGTGCTGGTGGCCTTTTTGGTGGAGAAACAAGGAGCAGCAGAGCTGGGGGCAGGGAAAAGGGAAGTCCTGACACAGTCACTGGGGCATGATTGGGATGGGTGACAGCAGTGACTTTTTTGTTTTTGGAGTGCCACCTTTTTTTAAATTCTGCTAAAGCACCTGTCTGTAATTCATCTTGTTACCGGTGTTTGGAATCTGCTTTTAAACGCTCTTTTTGTGGTTTCTGTGTTAAAGCACCGCTGTGGATGTGAACAGTGGGAGCTCTCACCTCAAGCTTCCGTGGTTCTGGGGGCTTGAACTCACAGTGCAAGAGCAAAAAGTTACTTTTTGAACACAAAACCATCCTGTCCTTGGCACCCTGCTGCCTTTCATATCCTGGACATCCTCCTGAGGCCACAAGGTTGGTGGATTTCTGTTGGAGAAAGAAGGGCTGGGAAAAACTGAACTCGTCCTATTGAGGGAGAAAATGCAACCTGGGGTGAAATTCAGTGTGCAGGGCCAGGCTGGATGGGCTTGGAAGAACCTGCTCTGCTGGAAGTGTCCCTGCCCGTGGAATGAGGTGGTCCCTAAGCCCCTTCCAACCCAAACCATTCCCTGACTCTGGGAACACCTTTCCCTCTGGGAGTCTGCAGGTGCCTTAAATTCCTGACGGGCTCCTGCTTCCTGCTGCTGTGAGAGCGGCTGGGAACACCTTTCCCTTTGGGAGTCTGCAGGTGCCTTAAATTCCTGACAGTCCTGCTGCTGTGAGAGCCGAGACTGCCTGGAAAGAGGGAGAAGCTGGCAGTGAAACCCTGCTGGGACTGTGGCAGGGCTGTCTTATCAAGGCTGTGCAGCTCCTCGTTGTGCCACAGCCCCGCTCTCACTGCTGCAAAAGAGGAAACGGGAGCACAGGCAGAGGGCTCAGACTTCCCACTGCTTAACTGCGACAAGCTGGTGCAGGAAGACCAAGGAAAATCCCACTTGACGCGGCATTTTCTCACTTCCAGTGGCCAAAAGGGCTTTTTTTTTTGGGTTTTAATCTGCCCTCCTTTCATCTTCTGTTGTCTGAGTTATTATCTTACCTTGTCTCCGAGTTGCAAGGGCTGCTCGGGGCAGAGCTGTCAGATGGACTCGGCTGAGGGGAGTTCCCCGCCCGGGCACGGCTGAAGGGTCCCCAGCCCTGCTGGCTCTGCACTGCTCCGGGTGCACAATGACAACGATGGACGCCAGCCCCAGGAGCAGCACAGCTGCAAAGGTGGGTCTGGATTTTGGGCAGGGAAGGGTTTGGTGTTTGAATTCACTGGGATTCTTGGTGATGTTGGAAGTAGCAGCAATGAGACCGCTGTGGTTGTGGCCTTCATGGCCAGAGGGACACTGAGGGGCTGGAGCGTGGCCAGGGAAGGGAATGGAGCTGAAAAGGGCTGGAGAATTCCTGAGAGAGGCACTCAGGGCTCTGGGCTGGGGACAAGGTGGGATCAGGCACAGCTGGGACTCGAGGTCTCAGAGGTCTGTGCCAGCCTCAGGTCTGTGGTTCTGTGAAGTGTTTGGGTTCCTCATCTCGGGGCACAGAAAGCTCCTGTACCTGATGTCCCCCTGTGCTTTTCATGGTGACAAAACCACTGACGGGGAGAAATGGCTTCTTGGTGAGGATCCTGGATAAAGCAGAATTGAAAACCAACAAGTACCTGGAAATAAACACATTTGTGAAATTATAAAGATATAATGTCAAGGTCCCACATTACTGCTGTGCTGCAGTGACATTAGACACAGATCCTTGCTTTGCCAGCCCTGCTGCCCTCTTGCATGACATAATTTCTTTATGTTACATGTAAACCAGAAAACATTTTGAAACACTCTGTGTTCCTATTTTGAAAGACTGGTCGCAGTGTACAAGGTTTGTTACACTTATTTCTGTTTCCATATTCCATCTAGATTAATTTTCTATAGATCAGAGGCTCTGCTGCTGTAAGGGCTGGAGAATGCTGAAATCTCAATTCAAAGTCAATGCCTTGCTGTCCTGCTGTCTGCAAGTTTAAGTGTACTGGAATTGGGATTTTCATTGTGGATTATGATCTCAGTGTTTACTGTAAATAAACTGCCTCCTGGAAATTTAATACAAAATGTTATTGGGGGGGAAAAGCTTAGTAGGAGCTCAATGAGTCATTTTTTTACACTCCAAATTTTCCATCAAGGCTTGTAAAGAACAGGGGGCTACTTTTCACATTGAGTCATCAGGAACTGAGGCAGGGTATTTTTCATCTCTAGAAGAATTTTCTATTTCTACACATATTTCCAGTTCTCTTGAGTGGATTGTCAATAAATCAATGTAATTGAATTTTACCAGAATTACCAGAACAGGTAATCAGGTAGCAAACTGATTACCTGTTCTGCTGTGAGCATTTTAGACATGGCCAGAGCCCACCCAGTCAACTTCAGCTGAGTAATAAAACACCAAAATCCTTTCTGCAACATCATTTATGAGCTCTTTATAAATCCCCTACCAACCTGGCAGTACTGTTTATTGCAATACTTAAATTATATTAAAACACAAAGGTTTGGTTTTGTTTTTTTTTAATTTCTCTCTGCACTCCTTGAAGCACCAACCCTGAGCAGCATTGCTGTGACAGGAAACGCTCTGCAATGATCCCTGTGCCCCAACTATTGCACCTGCAGGGGAAAACCCCTGTGAGAGGAGCTCAGGGTGAGTTCAGCCAGGGCTGGGGTTTGGGTGAGCTCAGCCAGGGCTGGGGTTTGGTTGTTGTGGTTGTTTTTGGTGGTGTTGTCGTTGCCAGGGGCAGCACAGGAAGCCTTGCAGCCCTTGCTGCAACTTCAAACCCCCGTGGGCTCCAGGGACTCCTGCAGTGGCACAGCTTTGGCTGAGGGAGAATGGGAGAGTGTTTGGATGTGCTTGAAGTGGGTCTGGAGTTTCTCTCTCCTGAAATGCCCCATTCACATCTCCCCACCTCGCCCACAAATGCAGGTGTGGGGCTGACAGAGAGCTCACCTGCAGGGCTGCCCCAGCCCTGGGTCTGCCCAAGGCCAGGCTGGACAGGGCTGGAGGTCCCTGGCACAGTGGGAGATGTCCCTGCCATGGAAATCCCTCTGGGGTTCATTCATGGCAACATTTAAATTTATTTGAAAGTAGTCCTGTGGCCACAACTGTGGGTTTGTAACTGATACTTCTCCATCATTTCAAATGCTGGAGCACCTGAAAAACTCCAGGGTAGCAAGTGGATGGCTCATGATCACAGCATGAAGTGTCTGAAGGGGTCAAACTTCTGCTCCTGATGTTTGAAAAATAAAAAAGAAAGAAGAGAAAAACCAAAAAGGCGCTGAAATGGGCTGGTTTGTGCCAGCAATTCTTTCTCCTCTGGACAGCAGCTGGTTTGCTCCCAGCCCAGAGGTGTAGATTTGGTTGATGAAGCTTTTCAATTCAGCATTTTCTGTTCAAGATGTTAAAGTCTTTTCTAGATACAGGATTGTGGCTTTGGGAGCCAGTGTCTAATTTAATCTTGAAGCTACTGTGGAAAGAGGAAGGAAGAGGCTTTTACCAGAGAAAAGCCAGCATGTACAAAGGCAAAACCAGTAAAAATTTGCTAACTCCCAAGATATCCTGAGTCCAAAGTGGTAAAACGTGTGCACCAGCATGACCAGGACTCAGCTGTGGCCAAGCAAATAGCAACCATTAATAATTTTAAATAACATTCTACCTTAATATTTAAGTCCAAGAAACAAAACCCTTCAGCTGCAATCATGTTTAGCTTTCCTCCTTGGGTTTTCTGCCTCTGCAGGGTGAGGTGGTTTTGCAGGGGATTTATAACCACAAAGGGAATCTGTTCAGTTTTCTAAAGACAGATTAAAAGTGTATCAAAACTCACACCACTTTGAAGTAAAACAAAACAAAACAAAAAAAAAAAAAAAAAAACTAAAAAAACAAACAAAAACCCCAAACATAACAAACCAGGAGTAAAAAATGCTGCAGCAAAAAAGCTTCCAAATCCAGCCCTTTTGCTGGTGCAGCCCTGCTGCCCTGGGTTTTGTGCTCAGAGCAGGGCAGGCACTCCCTGCAGGGGAGTCTGTGTGTCCTGCACATCACCAGCTGCAGCCAGGGGCTCCCTGGAGAGAATTCTGCCACGTAATGAGCTCCCCCCACTGCCAGAGCTGCTTTCCTGGGGCTCCCAGCGAGCAGGAGGGGGCAGAGGCTGAGCTTTCCCTCTGCAGGCTTCCAGCCAGAGCCTGCAGAGCTGCCTGAGCCGCTCACAGGGCTGGGGACATCCTCCTCCTCCTCCTCAGGTGATGGACTAACAGGGAAACGCAGCAAAATGAAGGTCAGTGGAAGCTCTGGGTTCTTTTCTTTCTGCTGCAGTTGATTTTGTGACTTTCTGATTTTATTTGTAGTGGACAGAGGGTAAAATCTGCATCTGGCAGGGTCTCTTTGCAATGTGTGCGTTCAGCTGATTTGCACATCATTAACGGAGCACGTGGTCTTAGTTTTTAAAATATAATCCAAATTAACTGTTTCTCAAGAGCATCAGCGTGGCAGAGGAGGGTGAGAGTTTGTTCTGTGTACGTTGAGTAATGACAAGTTTATTAAAAATGATCATGAGTGACTCAGACTGGTCACTTCCACATTCTCTTGGAAAAAACGAGGTTAAGAGTTGAGCAGTGTATTACCTCAAAAGAGATTATGTTTTTGCATTGACCCCTAGAAAATGGGTAATGGAAATGTCTCAAGAATTGAGGTCACTGTGTGATGAGGAAAATGCCAAGTAATTTCAGTCTGTGAGCCTGGGAAAGCCTTTGCACTCGAGGCTAAGGACTGGCCACATCCTGCAGAGCTGTCTGCAAGGGGACCTGGGGCTCACAAGAGGAAAGCAGTGCTCATTTTTAGCAAATACTCTTTTCTCCTGGTGCGGGGGGGGATGAGTGATGGACCAAACCCATTTTGCAGCGGTTTGTTGCAGTTTTCCCCAGCCCAGGCTGGGCTTTGTGCTGAGCAGGGCTCGGGCTGTGACAAGGAGTGGCTCAGCTGGGCAGGGCAGGGCTGTGCTGTCACCATGTGTCCCCTGCTAATGACAGCCAAGAGTCCAGCTGCTGCCTGGACCTGGGGACTCACAGCAGGGATCAGCCCAGCTGGAATCCCCGCTCTGCCCGGAGAAATGTGACAATGCCAGTGCCAGTCAGCCAGAAACCATCCACGCCTCGATTTATTCAGTGCACCTCATTCGTCTGCTCAGAAACACGAGCCTTGCAGGGCTGCGCAGAGGGCAGGGCGAGCACAAGGTTTTGGGGGTGGGCACAAGATTTGGGGGGTGAGGACAGATTTTGGGGGCTGAGCACAAGATTTGGGGGGTGAGGACAAGATTTTGGGGGCTGAGCACAAGATTTGGGTGGTGAGCACAAGATTTGTGGGATGAGGACAAGATTTGGGGTGTGAACACAAGCTTTGTGGGGTGAGGACAAGATTTGGGGGTGGGCACAAGATTTTGGAGGGATAAGCACAAGATTTTGGGGGGTGAGGATAAGATTTTGGGTGGTGAGGACAAGATTTTGGGGAGTGAGGACAAGATTTTAGGGGGTGAGGACAAGATTTGGAGGAGCGAGGACAAGACTTTAGGTGGTGAGGACAAGATTTGGGGGGTGAGGACAAGATTTGGGAGGTGGGGACAAGATTTTGGGGAGTGAGAACAAGATTTTGGGGGTGATCAGTGCAGCCAGAGAGCCCCAGGAAGCTGCAGCTGTGGGATTTGTGCTGCTGCTGGCTCTGGGGGAATCAGAGCCCCCCACCCTGCCCTCGGCCTCTCCACTGCTGCCACACCAGGGACAAAGGGCACAGCACGCAGGGACAGCACCCTGGCACCTCCAGCAGCAGCAATTCCTGAAAATTTCCAGTTTTTCAATGAAAAATGTTTTGCCTGATTCACAGGAGGGTGAGGACCCTGCTCTGAGGAGGACACTTGTATCCAGCAGAACTTTCTCTGTAAAGCCACATTTAGGAATAAGTGTAGTCAGGTGTCATCAAGATACTAAAAGGTTTAAAAAAGTCAAAAAACCCTAAAGTGATTGGGTGCATATGGGAAAAAGAAAGGTCTGAGGACCCAAAGGCCAGGAATGCTCCCACAGGGAGTGCAGGGAGCAGCAGGAAGTTTTTGTTTTCCCTTGAACTTGGGCATGAGAGCACTCCTGTAAAAATGCTCTGAAATCCTGGCTGCACTTGCCCCTTCTGGTGATTTTAACACAGCCAGGATTTGATTG